TATCTGAAGAAATTGCAGTAAAAGGCAATATTAGACATTTTTGTTTTGCTGTCCTGATACTCTGTACCTTTTCCTGACCGATGAATGACCATGAGCTAACAAATACTCGCTCAACAAATCTGACAGACAAAGAACGGTTATATGTGACGTTTTGTGTGTTTTGTTGTCTTTGTAATCATGTTTTTGTATAGACGTCACAGTTTGCAATGACTATATACAATGTACAAGCTAGCGCTAATTCTATGTACTATGGACATGTAGTTTAATAATTACGATGATTTGGCTTCTTCTCGCTTCTTAGTAACAATGTAGATACATGTATAAGTACAGATGTGTTTTATAATCGAAGGTTTGTCTAAAGCTATTAGAAATATGAACTTATCTTTGTTGCTAAGATGTATGAAATGGGGAAACATACATTGCAATAGTTAATAAAGCTCAGCTCTCTCTTCGCTATATAAACTACATTCTAATACAACGTGCTGCTCATCCTCTATCCTATTTAGATTACAATGCCTACATATTCGTTGTTCCAGGGGAGTGCGGTTATGGCGTCCGGTTTCAATGTGTAGTTTGTGGCAGCTTATCCTGAGTTTTGTAGTGGCGGTCCTATGCCGTATATTGTCGAGATTTTTCCTGTGACCTGTACTGAACCCAGTGCGTATTTGCGTACAATACAATTCATTCATTATATTCCAGTTGCGAAGTGAAGGATCGCACGCATCCAATGTTGGTCGTTCAGAAAGACGTCGTGGAAAAACACATGTTCAGACCAAAAGAAAACCGACCAAGGAGGCTATGCCGTACCGCTATTGCCAGAAATGCTTGATATAAAGTACCTGCCGGCGTCCATCCGTCATGTCAGACAGAAGGGTCGCCATGATCTATGGTGGACCGCCGGAGAGTCTTTAATTACGACTACGGATTTCCCAGGTGTGCTGAATGACACTGTGGACTATTCCTTTGCAACGAAGAATTTGACAATAATGTAGCCTAGATAAGATAGAAAGCGACGGCCGCTTTACTGTGGACATTATTTAAGTTACATGCAAACTTTGCATCTACTATGAATGCTTACGTTAGTATACCAACGTAGAAGTTAAACCCCGCACAGGCCACCCGTGGTGTAATAAACCGACTGGCGGTTAGACTGATTGAACAGTGTATGTGCGCATAGTGTGTGTATGTGTATGTGTGTGTGTGTGTGTGTGTGTGTGTGTGTGTGTGTGTATGTGTATGTGTATGTGTGTGTATGTGTGTGTGTGTGTATGTGTGTGTGTGTGTGTGTGTGTGTGTGTGTGTGCATGTACATGTGTGTGTGTGTGTGTGTGCGTGTGCATGTATCGTATGTTTATGTGTGTATGTATATGTGCATGTGTGTATGCGTATAGTATGTATGTGTATAATGAGTGGGGTCAGGCTTCCTATCACTGAGTCAGTGGCTCGCACTAACGGATCTAAGAATGATGATACCGTGTTATTTAGTAATCCTGTAGTCACAGTTTTCAATGTTTCCATAAAATTTACATAAAGCTATCAAAGGTCACCTGGTAGTGTTAACATTGCGTTGGAACAAATTTCAGTTTAATAGGGAAGATATTGGCAGTGTCTATACACCTGTTTGCCCTGCCTTCCACTTGTATATTTACACTCCTTTGAAAATGTTGTGTATAGTTTTCAGTCTGGATGATGTTTTGGTGTATGTTTCAAGATCTGTCAGACGAGATGATATTTGGCAGGTTGATAGGTGAGGTATAGAGGACTGTATTAGTTGACTTTGGGCCCCTGGTGATTGAACTTAGTACTGCAGTAAGAATTTTTTTCAAATTTTGTTGGTCTGTGGATGTAATGTTTGGGTAGCATATAGTTATTGACGTAAGGGTTAAGTGGTGTACATTTTACACACAGATTCTTTATTGACACAACAAAAAGTACAGTGACTTTTGTATGGTCTTCTACAACTTAACTAAAGATCTAACAGAGCTAAATACATGTGTGGATAACGTCATCTTATGTACAGAGTATATGTATATTGTAACAATGAAGGTTAACTATTCTCTAACATGTGTTTTCAAAACATTCTTTAATATATTTCCTATTTGAACACTGTATTGGTTATCTCTCCTGAGAATGTAGTTGCATTTATCTATAGCATCTAACGTATTGAAATCAATTGAACAAGCGCAAAAAAAGGTGAACAACAATAGGCGCTTATCATTGTATAGTGTACAATCCATTATAAAATGGTGCTCATTTTCAATCATGTTTGGACAAAATGGACAGAACCGTTGGTCATTTGGTATTTTCTTGTATCGACCCATTTCTATGTGTAATTTATGACAACTAATTCTTAATTTTGTGATCGCTTTTCGGATATCTAGATTGTGTACACTATATATGAAAGACAACTTGGAGAGGTGCGACGCTCCCTGGAGCATGCGGTGCTGAGTGAGTGAGTATGCCAA